CCACTTCGGTGATCTTTAGCACATAACAGTGCTTTGACTTAGGAAAAAATGAAGATCATGAATTTGCACTAAAGTGGTTTTGCTCTCAACATTGACCTTCCACCCTCCCCTCCCGCAATGACTGAGTAAACACTCACATCACCACTATTTCCTCTTTCCTGTCAAAGAGCAGTAAACATCAGCTAGGCAGGGAAGCTTTCCAGAGAAAACAGTCACTTACTGAACTTCTGTGGAAACACTCAGCAATTCAGATAGCCTCATTTTAGCAACAAGTGCTATCAATTCCTGCCTGCCCTGGACTTTTGTTAGTTGTGTAAAACCTGCTGCTGCGCATGCAGACAGGATCATTTCAATGCTACAAGAACTCCTCAATGCTGCTTTCCAAAGGTGATCTCCTAAGGCTTTACCACAGTTGACATCCACTTAGCATATGTAGGTACTTGTTCAAGCTGCAAGATTTCACTCATTCAGCATGTAAGAAATCAGGGAAACCGAGATACACATTACAAACATTAAAACTATCAGATTAATCTCAAGTGGTTAAAAACAAGTAAATAACAAGTACCTTCTGCTTCCTAATCAAACACGTCTTTGGCTACCCAAACAAGGCACAACACGGTGCTTAATTCATTAACCAGAACTTTTAGTATCAAATAGAAGGAACAATTAACAATAATAAATAAAATAATAGCAGCAAATAACTGTAATAGATCAGTCTCATTCAGTAATATTCTCTAGGTACTCAACTACTGTGCACCAAATCAATTAGAAATTTTGTGAGAGCATGTGATTTTTTTTAAATCATCATCTATATTACCCTTAGGATATACAAAAGAGATATAAAGAATAAAAGAAAGAAAAAAAACACAGTGGCAACACTCTCATTCTACAAAGAAATTGTATATTTGATTCTAGAGCCTTTCAGTATAAAAGAAAAACTTTATGGAAAAGCATAATATGTAGAGGGATTTATAATGAAAAGCAGCTTTGTGAAGTACACAACTTTCTCAGTCAGTAGCAAAGGACGGCTGATCTGCAAGTGTTCAGTATTAGTATTTGAGTCTAAGATGGTAACTCTGCCCAAAAAGCATTGTAAACAGCATTCCCACCAAATATCCAATAAACGCATGCACTGTTAACAGAACAGACACCAAGGAGAAGCGCAGCCAGGGTCAAGTCCTGGAATTAAAGATGACCCCTGACTGCTCTCCCAGCAGTAAGTCAACCTGCACTGTGTGGTTGCCCACTGAGTACTGAGAAGTCTTTATTAAGATCTGGTTGAGTCTGAAACTCCAGAGAAGGAAGGGATCACAGCAGGGAACAACCTGAGTCCACAGGACAGCCTCCCCTTTGGTCACAGCTCTCAGGTATTCCTCCCTAATTCAGTAAGATAAGGAGAAAACTTGCACTCTTCTAAGTCATACGCTTCAAGATGAAAAGAGGGTTGTGCAGCATCACAAGGAAAACAAGGTAACTTCAGTTTCCTGCAAAATAAGGCAGAACTATCCTACACCTCCTCCAGCACTTCATGCTCAACACAGCAGCACAGGCTACCGAGACCAGTGAGAACATACTGACTTTTCTACCAATGTATTCTTTAATAGATCGTAACATGTTGTCTCACAAAAATAACAGCTCTTCGAAACTAGAAACAGAGCATGAGAATCCACACTGGGGCAGAAAGTGCAAAATACCTTCCCTTACTTGTAATGCTACATCTTGTAAGACTAAACTTTCAAACTAAAAGGTGAAGCTATGTTTTAGGAAACAGTAGTCTGCCTTAATTATGAGGACATTTTTCTGAGTATGGTAACTGAGCACTGGGTAAAATCAGCACAGGTCACCTCATTTTTCTGCACCAGTCTAAAAACTAAAGGAACTAAGGCATATCTTGCCATAAAGTCCTAAAATTAGAGGACTATAAATACAATCTTGGAGCTGTTATTAATACAGTTCTCTTAAATTGGAAAAAGAATGGCAAAATGATGCACAGCTAAAATAGTAAAACAGAATATGAGATACAGATGGTTCCATAAAATAAACAAAGAAAACAACCATAAGGGTTGTTTTTTTTTTTTTCTGAATTTTATCTTACACTATTTGTGCAATGCTTAAAACTCTGAGGCGTGTAAAGAACATAAAGGAATGAGGATATTTTTGCACTGTTCCCTTCCTAGGATTCTTTCATTCTTCACATATAATGAACATCTTCACTGATATTACACTACCACTGAGAGCCAAAAGTATGTCCATTTGCACAGTCTGCACTTGCAATATTACACATGAAGACATACTGGATTCAAATAGACTTCCAAAAACACACAGAAGCAAACTCTGACAGTTTGTATAGCTGATTTTTTTCTAGATGGTACAGAAATGTACAGTGGCATATAGGTATAAGCTTACTCTGAAATAAAAAGTCATTAAAAACAAACACCATTTTAGGGATCTTTTTGTCCCATTTTCATCCCATTTTCCTCATTAACAACACAGAAATTTGCTGTACCCTTACAGAGTTAATGGTATATTAATATTCCACATAAAAGGCTCTATTTCTGTATCCGACTAAAGCAATCAGACTTCTCAAAAATTGCTTTTTTTTGGATGTGAGCAAGTTTCATTAGTGACATTTTGTGGAATACTGAATAAATGAAAGGCCAAGAAGACATAGCAAAGGGCTCTAGATATCCAGAATGTTTCCTATGTTACATACGGACAGGAAAATCAGGTAAAATAACTGGAGTCCATGGTTGTCTAGTGGTAAACTAAGTATAATATACTCCTTAATCCGTAGCTTCAAAGCTTGAAAATGAAATCAGTTTTCAAGAAAATGGGCCGTTGCTGATTAAGGTGCTCTTCCAGAATCTCTGCATAGGATCTAGCTGGTGAGAGTTTCACACTCAAAGCACACACCTCCCTCAGTGCATCTCTGAAAAGAAAGGGGCTCAGACTCTCTAGCAGTCCCAGAACTTACTCTCTGTTCACCACTCCATCTATCTGCTGCCTCTTCACCAACAGAGAGCTTTGATTATCAGTATGAAAGACTCTCACCTAGCAGACAGGAATTTGGAGTGAAAAAGACAACGTCTTGAAAAAATATGGTTACTTTTCACTCTTAAGCAACCGGAATAGTGGAACACAAGTCTTATGATAAGAGGTTGAGGAAACTGGGATTCTTCAGTCTGGAGGAGGCACTGGGCAGACTCTTTTATCACACTCTAACAACAACCTGAAAGGAGGCTGGAATGAGGTGGTCAGCCTCTTCCCCCACGTAACAGTGATAGGATGAGAGGTAACGGCCTTAAGTTATGCCATGGGTGGTTCAGGCTGGTTATTAGGAAAAAATTCTTCTCTGAAAGAGTGATGCTACATCGGCACAGGCTGCCAAGGGAGATAGGGAGTCAATGCTCCTGGGGATGTTCAAGAACCATACAGGTTTGGCACTGAGAAACAGTGAGTGTGGTGATGGATTGATGGTTGGAGGAGATGATCTTAGTGCTCTTTTCCAGCCTTAACGATTCTGTGATTTTCTAGACACTCAAAAGAAAACATAGATTTTGAATCAACGTGTACTTAAGGTCTCCAGAAACTCTGGTGTGAATAGCATCAGTAACACGGCACCCGATGTGCTGCTATCCTGTCGTTACACCTCCACAGGTGCATCACAGACACAGTCAAGCTGTGCTGCTAAAAGCAGGCATGCTATTCACGGCTCGTGGAGCTGAAGCGTGAAAGCCACTAAACTAAGTGCGTGCCTTCAACATCACCGCGGCAATAAGGGAAACACGCCGCAGGAAATCCAGCCCCATTCCCACTCCACACGCTGCTTTATGGTGAACAGGCAGCAGAACACCCAGCTGCGGGACGGGACGTCGTCGCTGCGCAGCTTATGACTGCTGTCCCTCACTGCCACCCTCCCACAGAGCCATCCTGAGGAATATGGAAAATCCCGAAGCTTTGCTGGGCAGAACACGCCCGGACGAGGAGCACAGGAGACACGGGAGCGGGGAAAAGAAGAGGGATAAAGAAGCCTCTACGTAGCAGAGGGCTGCTTCAGCCAAGAGCCCAAGCGAGGACACGGAGGCGCGGTGGGGAAATAAGGCTAGGAAGGGGGCATGGCTCGTCCCTGCCTTCCGACCCCCGCCCACTCACCTGCTTGCCCAGGAATCTGCTCAGCTCCGCGCCGCTCTTCTCATTCCTGCGCGCCACCAACTGCAGCGGCTCAGCCAAGTGAAAGCGCAGGTCGGCCATGCTAGGGCCGGCGGGGCTGCGAAGGCGGAACGCCCGACCTCCGGCCACCGCCGCGCGACACGTGGGGCGCGCGAGGGACGCGCACCACGCTCCCAACTTCCGCTTCCGGTGCCGTCATCCGGCAGCGACGCCGCGGGTCGGCCCCGCGCGCGCGTTTAACTACAGCTCCCAGCATGCAGCTCTCCGCCGGGCGGGGAGCTGCCGGAAGAACTGGCGTCCGCTACATGCTGGGATACGTAGTCCCCAAACTGCCATACTGCTCAGGCGGGGTGCTGTGGGATCCGGGTCGAAGCTCCCGTGCGCGGGGCTTCGCTGATTGTGCTGCACTGTTCGCTGAGGCAGCTGTCCCGTCAGTCACAGGAGGCCCTGCGATGGCAACTGTAAGAGGCAGAGCCACGACCTGCCCTCAGGCCTTTCAGATGTGGGGCAGCGCAGCCCACGGCACCATCGCGAGCCTCAGCGCTGGCTGACAGAAGCAGACGAGTTCCGAATGGAAGCAGCTCAGCAACGCAGCACCTCACCCAGAGCCCGGCGTTACCAGAAGCGGGGGCGGGGCCAGACCGGGGCGCGCAGCTGGGTGGGTGGGCGGGGCTTCGGCGCAGGGGGCGGGGCGCGGCCGCCTCGCGCTCCTCACTTTGGCGCCAACTGCTCAGAGTTGGGGATCGGGTTTGTGGACGTCTTGGCTGCGGACGTGCGCTGCGTCCGCTGCCATTGGCTGCCGCCTCTGGAAGCTCCGCCCCCTCGGCGCCCGGCCTGTAGGACCAGCGGCGGCGGCGGCCTGTGGGTCGTCGCGGGTTGTGGCTCACTGGTGGGTGCGGGCTTTTTTTTTTCTCTTTTCTTTTCCCATTTACTCTCTTCTCTCAGTGCTGCGGGGTACCTCTCTCTTCTTTCACGTTCGGCTTGATTTCGGCCAGCTGGAGCTGCTCCGCTGCTCCTTAGCGCAGCCCGCCCGAGGTGTGCTGCTCCTGGAGGCCCTCCCTGCCCCGAGCGCTGTGTGCGCCCCGTGACGGGGCTCGGCCTGGCGGGCGGGAGGCGGCGGTAGGGCTAGGCGAGGCCGAAGGGCTGTGGCTGCTCCCGGCGGCAGGGCCGGGGCCTGCCCTGCCGCGCCGCGCTGCTGCCATGGGGTACCCGTGCCCTGTGAGTGAGTTTCGGGGCTCGGCTGGAAGGCACGGAGCTGCACCTCGGTTTGGTTTGTGCGTGTTGAGCAGCAGGAGGGAAATTCGAGTTACGCAGTGGTATGACTAGCTGGGGAAGGAATACGGTCAGACCTGTTAGCAGGACGTCCACATGACGAAGTTTCTTTGTAGGGTGTTTATTCAGTGTACGAAAACGAAGATACTGCTGAAGGCCTTACCCCGAAAGTCAGAATGGTTCTTTATGGGGTAGGTAACTTCTTGTTTTCACTCCTGATCACATTCTAAGCTTGTTAACCTTGATGTAAGAGTTTTGACAGTTTCTTTTTGTCTTTTGTTGAAGACCAAATATCTCAGATGTAAATGTTGCTCTTCTATATGCTTCTGTTTTGCAACGATGTTCTTAAATTGTTGGTTAATCGATTATCTTTCCTCTTTTTGTTCGTAGATGGGGAAGCCGTAGGGAGTTTGTATCATGGCAGCAGATGAGGATGGACTGGGACTGTTTAATACCCGCTGTGCTGGTAAGATGAGTTTGCGCCATGTTCTGTTTGGCAGTGAAATAACACATGGAGTATTATAGAAATACATAGGTCTGAAAGGTACTTAATAAAAACAAAATGAAAATAACGTAAGCTGGGACAAACGCTGGTAAGCTGTAGTTACTTAGCATGACACAATCTCATTGTGAGCCACATCGTGTCATTGAGTGGTGAGATGCTGGAACAGGCTGCCCAGAGAGGTTGTAGATGCAACGTCCCTGGAGGTGTTCAAGGCCAGATTGGATGGAGCCCCGGCAGCCTCATCTGGTATTAAATATGGAGACTGGTGGCTCTGCATGTGGCAGGGGGGTTGATATTTATGATCCTTGAGGTCCATTCCAACCCTGGCCATTCTGTGATCACATCAGTAACATTGCATTTGCCACCGTAACTTATTCATTTGTATTTTGGGTTTCTAATACGTTGCCAAAGTGTCTGCAGCAGGCCTCTCACCTTTAATTTATAGCATGTGATTTAACCTTCCTCATCTCTGCATTTGGATAAGTCGAGAGTTTGGTCCTCTGCTTTTTGTTCTTACAGACACATGCTGTGACTTCAGATCTAGTACAAACAGTCAGGGTGCTCCAGTGTTGTGTCCAGCTGAGCAGTTTGTTGATCTGATGCATTTGTGAGATTTCCAGCCTCAGAAAATTGGTGGATATTGTTATATTTCTTAAAAGTAATAATATTTGTTGCAGTACTGGAAAGATTCTCATGTAGGAGATGAGAGTAATAAAGAGGCACTGGAAAAAGATATGAGAAGAGTCTGGAGAAATCTAGATCAAAACAATTTTGCAGAACCAGTTAGAATGGGAATAGATGACAAAATTAAAATCTGAATTATGACACAGACTGTTGAAATGCTTCCTGTTACTTGGTGAGAATTATTTCTTTTAACAGTAGTGGTTTTGTGATTCGAAATCTTTATCTTTGATCTGTATAACTTCTGGATTCAGTGTATTCCAGAAAAGTGTTTCCAATTCAGACTAAGTCAGCATTGCCAGTTGTTAATGTCAAATTGTACTTAAAGCCATAAAATTTGATTCTTGGACAGGTCTTGTGAGATTTAGGAATTGATCACAGAACTTTATTTGCTCCCAGATGACTAAAGACTGTTTCTCCATATAAACTACTACTACTATCCTGCAGTGTTCTAGGGTCATGGCTATATGTAGAAAGTTAGAAGTTGGAGTTTTTAAAAGTTTACTTTGTTGCTCTTTTTTCTTCTTACTTTAGCTGAAGCATCCCCCTTTAAGGAAGGTGATGAGAGCTCAGTGGATATTTATGATGGTTTGGACAGTGGCTTGACAGCTCCTGGTAGGTTGAATGAATCTTGTTAATTGGGTTTAAGTATTATAGTCTGTTGCTTTTTAGGCTGGTTTCCAGCAAGACAACATTTAGCTTTAAATTTACATTTAGCTGGGCTGACATGTGCTTCAGTGACCTACTTACATAAATTCAAAGCATACACATTGAACACATGTGTACAATGTATACACATGTGTAAATACAGCTGAGAATTCTGAAGTATTTTAACTAACTGATTATAGTACAGTTTTCATGCAGTGCTGGTTATTTTAAGAGACTCATGAAAGGGTGTAGAGAAACTTCAGCTCTTCTGTCTGTGCCTCACTATTAGACATTTTGTCTTGGAAAACACACCTTTCTTTTGTGTTTCTAAAATAGCTTCAGGACCAGAACCAACAGTCACTGATTAGTAAATCACCAGTGAGAGCTGCAAAACATACTTTGTGTGATACATTGCATTCTGTAGGTCCTTTTAATCTGTAATGCTCAGAGTAATTTCACATGCTAATGTAAGTTATTCTCCTCTTTTAACTTCTTTTAAGGTAAGAAAGAAACAAAATTTCAATATGTTCCTTTTTTTGGATTTTTATAAGGCAGTTTAAATACTAGAAACTGCATTTCATTAAACAAGTGTTTATCTATTATCCTTACATCTCTGAGTGCATTGAATGTTTATGGAAGCACTGTACTGCATCCTACAGGTGTAAAACATTCATACATCTTTTTCTCTCTTTCCATTTTGTATTTTATTCTTAGAAGTTCTCTTAATCTATAAATTTTCTAACACAATGTTTTTAAGTTGAACTTTAGATTTCTTTGTTCTCTTTTATATTGATGTAAATTGGATGATGTATTTCCAATAAAAACTAGTACAAAAGTCGAAGTCCGAAGTGGGGATTTCTTCAGATAAGGTCATTTTCTTCGCTGTGACACAACGCAGTCTACGTAGAACTTGGTTTTTTTCTTTGTGATATATGTTTTTCTTTCTACAGACAACTCTGCTCCAAATTCAACACCAGCTGGCAACAGTTTAAACTTATTTGATGAGATATTAATTGAAGAAGGAACTGCAAAGGAAGCATCTTACAATGAGGTGTGAATTAATGTAACAAAAAATAATTTGTTTTTTTTTTAATCTTGCACTAAATGTTTGCTAGTGTGCTTACATTATTGGGAAGATAGGAAAACTGCTTTTAAATAAAGGAATGAAAAGTTGTGTTTGTTTATAAGCTGTTAGTCAACAGGTTTATCAGAATCAGTAAATCTTTCACTCTCTATGGCATAGGCTGTTCTCACTTAGCATCTTTTTGCACGCAATTGTATCAGTAGAGGAAATATTTGTTTCTAGTTAAGTACCTGTTCAACTCTCTGTGCAAGGATGGTCTTGACATTTCCTGTAAGAAGTTTTACCTAGCTAATGTAGATAGGGTGTGAATTGATCTCATGTGTCCTTGAGTCTAAGAACAACTATGCAGTAGGTAACTGCTTGTAGCAAATCAGAAGACATACTCATGTAACATCATATAATTAATATTAATATAATTTCAGTGGTGAGTGGAGACAGGACAAGGGGAAACGGCTGGAAACTGCAGCATAGGAAGTTCCGCACAAACATGCGCAAGAACTTCTTTACAGTGAGGGTGACGGAGCACTGGAACAGGCTGCCCAGGGAGGTGGTGGAGTCTCCTTCTCTGGAGATGTTCAAGACCTGCCTGGATGCCTACCTGTGCGACCTACTGTAGGGAACCTGCTTTGGCAGGGGGGTTGGACTTGATGATCTCAGGAGGTCCCTTCCAACCCCTACAATTCTGTGATTCTGTGATATGCAAGTTTATAAGTATATATGCATGTAAGTATATATGCAGTCTAAATATAAACTTAAGATTCAGAGTAAAGACATCCACAGATAAAATACACTGGAGAAGAAGCAGGAACAAAACGCCCAGTAGTCCACTAAATGATGAAAATGTCATAAGTTTGAAACCAATTCATTGTCAAAAACTACAAATAAGGAAGTAGGCGTCCAATTTTAATGAAAATCTCATACTACGTGTGTATTTAATTTTGTGATCTCAACAAGAGCAGGTTTTTTTTGCAGTCTATTTCAGTCTAAGTTTGATTTTTAGATAATTTTCTGTCATGATTACGACTTTCCTTAACTATTTTTTATTCTGTAAAATCTGATAAAGTTTCTGTCTGTAAGGCTTTTGAGAACTGCTTGCTTTACACAGTTTTGTCTTTACTTTCACAATTGTATGGCTTCCTATTATGGTCTGGCATGTGACAATTGGGCAAGCACACACAGATTTCCTCTTACGTGAATGTCTGTGAATTTTATGCCTTTGGAGTGTACTGAAGCTTTTTTGTTTTAATACTGGCATTAGAGTTGTAGTTTTGGAAAAACAGAGCTTTGATATATAAATTGTGGTGTTAACAAACTAATAATCTAGAAGAGTAACTTTTTTTGTAATTATGTTAGCTTCTGTACTGTGAATTCTTCTCTTTGACAGCTGCAGGCAGAGTATGGAAAATGTCAACAGCAAATTAAAGAGCTGATGAAGAAATTGAAGGAAATACAGGCACAGGTACAGTAGATCCAAGGGCAGTATTGTCAAGATTTACGTAAAGCAAGCTGAACGTTGCCTTGAGAGAGTTAATTTTGTATTCTTTCCATAACTTTTATATAATAACAATTAAATTGGTGATCTGTAGTGCACATCTGTAAACTCTAAGACAGTGATTAGGACCAAATCAACAGGTAATTTTGCTTGTTTTACGGTGATGTGTATTGTAACACTTGAATTCTTAAAAATGCTGTCTTCTATCTCTGATTAAAAAATAAGCATGTCCAACAAATACTTAAAAAAAAAAAAAATTCTTTGGTTTATTGAAATCTACCTGTAATGCAGTAGGGAGGTTTCAAAGTACACAAGCTGTGAGAACTGAAAGAAGATAGCTGTATCAACAAAATGCCATTTTGATAAGGCTGAACTACTCTTCACATTGAGCTAGCATATGTGCTGTGCCATCCCATATAATTAGATTATCTTAGGCAATTCTGCATCTTGCTCTACTGTGTGTTACAGATAAGTTGAAAAGATTCTAAGCTTTAAATGGTAACCAATTCCTGCTGTCATACTTTTGAATTGTTTTCTACAAAATTTGTCTGTTCTTCTGAGCGGGCCTAGCTGAGAGCAGTTATTAAAAGAAGCTGTCTCTAGAATTGTCAAATAGGATTCTAGAATGCTCCATCTAAAAATACTAGAATGTTAGGGTGCTCAAAATTGTATTAGGTATATTCTGTCTTTATCTGAAAGAGCTTAATGCCACATTCGAATGTGACTGTGAAAGCAACAAGTAGAGTGAAAGAATGAAGCAAAAAAGAGGATTGTAGTCTTCTAGCTTTATGTTTCTTATTTGCTTGTTTGGTTTTTTGGTTTTTCTTTTTGGGTTGTTTTTTTTGTTTTGTTTTTTGCATATTTCAGTTTTAATAATTTGTGTGCTTACAACACTGCAAGTAATTACCAAGCACATAGGCAGAAATGTGAGTGATATTTTGTTGTCGTTGCAGTTTCTTAACAGTTAATAATAATAATAATAATAATAATAACACTCTTATGTGGGTCTCAGCAATTCTGACTTCTCCAAAACATTTTTTCATGTGTTCTACCATCAATTTACACATAAGACAGGACTTTTTTTTTAACAGTTGTCTTGTGGTATGCTTTGTTACATGTTTGGTTTCCCAGGCTAACTCTCATGTTCTCCTTTTTCCCTACTCCTTTTGCTATTTAAAAATAGAATATCATTCTACAGAATGAAAACCAAGCTCTTAAAAAAAATATTTCAGCACTTATCAAAACAGCAAGAGTGGAAATTAACCGTAAGGATGAAGAAATCAGTAATCTCCATCAAAGGTACAGCTAGACAGTGGAACTTTAAGTGTGTTTGTTGTCTGATCATGTACTTGTTATAAACCTTTTATGTATTTCAAGTGAAGTAATTACAAAGTAAATAATTTGGTAGTTTATGTGTGGGTTTTTTTGTTTTTTTTTTTCTTTTTTTTTTTTTTTGCTGGATGAACTCTTTGATTTGTAATATAGAGAACAAAATACAAAGGGTGACCACTTTTCCTTTTTTGTTTTGTTTAGTCACCCATTCCAGTTGGGTTTTCTAACCGCCTAGCATGTTTCATTGCAGGTATTTTGTATTTTTTAGCTTTGAAACTACTGTATTTTTACAGTCACAGGCAGATGAATTCCATGAAATTTTTCAAGTAGTAAATGGACAAATAAGGAGAATATATGTGAAAATATTCTCTCCAGTGGTGAAAGATAGTAGTTAGAAGGTTTTTGGTAATTTCTACTAGACTTAACACAAGAAAAATGCTTGGATACTGACATTCGCCACATGTGAATCCAGATGTAATGGCAAAATCTTGTTAGTATAATATAAAATTAAACAGAAATGTAGGAATGGGTTTTGGATTACAACTGCAATTCTCTCTGAAGCTCAGTTCTCATCACACAATTGCATATTCTTGTAATATAGTCATATTGCAGAATACTGGTTGTTACATATTTAAATTTACTGTTTTGTTCCAGAGCAGTGTGTAGTTTCAAAAAGCAAAACCAATTCTGTTTTGTTTTGAAACTGAAGAACTGATTGCTTACAATTGGGCACTGGAATCAAGATATAATTTCAGGCCAAAACAGAATGCCTGTGTATAGTAACTACTTCGTCACTGTGGTTCTGTGATCCTTAACTAAAAACAGAGGCCATGGTATTTGGAGGTTGCTGCTATCATTTTTTGTTATGACTTCTCTTTATTTCCACACGGATTAGACACAATCGTTCTTATGAGACAGTGGAGGGTATTAAAGAAAGTTGACGTCGTCTTTAATTATATAATTGTGATGGAGTGCTTTGTTGAATATAACAGAAATGTCGTCTTTTTTTTTTTTTTTTGATGGTGAGGTAGCTTTTATGAGTACTTTGAGTAATGAGTAGGAGTTCAGATTATATATACAGACTGCATGTGCCTTTTTCTATTTCACTTCTTTATTTCTTTTCTTTTTATTATGATGACCTTGGAGCAGTAATACCTGGCCTTGATGAGGCTCAATTATTGTCATTTATTAGTTTTCTACAGCTTGCATGAAGTTCCAACTTCAGTAACTTGTTTGCTTATTGAGTGGAGTAAGCACAAGTCACTATTATTTTGGCTGTCATTTTATGCAGCAGTAAACTGTTGAATTGCATTTTTTTTATCATGAATATTGTGAACAGTGCGTATGTGGATTTTAAAAGAACAAAAAAAGTCCTAACAGAAGGCTTTCTTGCTGGACAATGAAATACTACTTTAAATTACTGAAGCATTATTTCAGAACAAATATGGTATTTTTCCACAGATCTTGCTTTTTCTTTACGTTAATTTAGTGTGGAAAATATGTATACAAAATATATTATTTTACTGTGTGCTAGGGATAAAGTAGAAGTCTAATAACTTCATATGTTTTCTTCAACTTGAAGCTGGAAGAAAGGTTGACAAGTTTGTAGAAAGAGGTGGATTCGTTATAGTTTGACTTCAGTTATTTTTAAATAAATTTCAAAACTAACATGAGGATTTGTTTTCTCTGTATACATAGGCTATCAGAATTTCCCAGTCATCGAAGTGGCTTCACCAGGGCAAATCTTCCTGGATCAACTAACGGAAGGTGCTCTGAGATGTGTAAGACAAAAGATTACAAATTCAGATCTTCTGACTTAGGTGACAGTACAAAGATGGATCATAGAATGAAAAATGACTCTTCAAAGGATATGTACCACAGTTATTCATCTCACAGTGTGGAGAACGTGAAGTCTAGCTCTGATAAAAGAAACACTCCATATATACTGCGCTACCCTCCTGAAGAGCTCTGTGGTGACAGTAATCATATATGTCCATCAAACCATGATCATAGTTCTAACAAGGATAATAAAAAGGAAAAAAAGGAAACAAAAAGTGATGAACAGCACAGTAGGGGAAATGTCAACAAATACAAAAGAGAAGTACATCAAAGTACTGGTAACAGTGGTATTTGTAGTAATACCAGTAGTGAAGAAGGGAATTCAGATCCTCATCAGAAGCTGAGAGCCCACTCAGAAAAGACTAGTAAAAATGAGTTGCAGCAAAATAATCAGAGCATAAAAGTCAAATGCAGCCCATCCACAGAAAGAAAAGTAGAAAAGAGTGTTTCTTCCTGGGATAAACAAACTACTGATAAAGACAGATGTCAAGCAAGAGGAGAATTGTATGCAGGTGAGAGATCACTGAACGTAATGAAGAAAGACATTAAAATGCATGATAAAGGTGAAAAGAACCCTAGCCAAAAAATTAAACCAAATGATAAACTACAGGAGCAATCAAGGAGGTCTGGTAGAGGGAATAGTCCATATTCAAAGAATGAACATTCAAAGACTCTTCATGAGTCACGTAAATGCCATGTGGAAGAGTCCAGAACAGGAAGAGACATCAACTGCAAGAGAGACAGAGGAGCAAATGATCATAGTTCTCGAGAAGGAAGGTCTTCACCTTCTAATTCCAGCAGCAGAGAGCATAAATATGCACGCTTTAAGGAAAACAGTAGTAGGTATGAGTGGGAAACAGCACATTCCAAATCAGAGAAGCACAGAACTGAAGAAAAAAGGAAAAGGGAAAGAGAAAATCAAGATGAAAATAGACATTCTAGAAGTGAAAGAAAAGCTACAAAAGAGGTTTCTCACCAACCTTCAAAAAAATCTAAGAGAGATACAGATATAAAAAGTGAGAGAAACAAGTCCTGTAGGTCAGAAGAAACAGCCAGAGTTACAGATAGTTTAAAAGACCATAAATTTCCCCAAACTAAAAATCACTCTGTGATGAAAAGCAAAGACTTGAAACTCAGCTTTATGGAAAAGCTGAATTTAACTCTTTCTCCTGCAAAAAAGCAGTGTCTTTTGCCAGCTGATGGACTTAAAGCACCTTCCCAAATGGCTACGGATGAGGGAACTACAGAGTTTACTCTGCATGCAGATGTGGTAGATTCTGCCCACCCTGTTAACTGTGGTGCTGCAGTGCAAATGAATTTAACGCTACAAGTTCCAGATGTTGCAACTAAAATCAGTGTGGAACCAACACTTCCTGTTTCTGTCAATTCTGAAAGTGAAGCCTTGAAAGTAGCAGCAGCAGATCCAGCTCAGTCTGAAGCACTGTCAGCAGTGACAACCTGTGAAGTGAACTCAAAAACCTTACAAGAGCCAGTAGTGGGGTACATACCCTCCCAAGCCTTGCTGGGAACAGCAAAGGTACTGATTCCTGATGAGATGCCAACTGAAACTTTGTCATCATCAGCAGCAGCAGAGGCTTGTGATCCAATTGAATTAGAAGCCTCAGCAATGTCTGTAACAGATCTGAATCACCCTGAAGCTTCCTCTCAGGAGGTGGCAGGAAGCATGGCACAATATGAAAACTTGCCTATGACAGTACATGTGATGCACAATGATAATGTGCTAGCAGCAGAAATGGGACAATCTAAAATGCACAGTGAAAATATGGGAACACTTCCTGAGTCAGCAGTGGAGAAGGAAGAGGAAAATGAAATATGGCTAACTGCTGACACAAAAAACTCTTCAGACCACCAGGACTCTCAAAACCTTGTCTTATGTAACCTGGAAGCCAAAAGTTCTGGTGACTTGGAATCATGTGTTGCTGCAGGTGATACTAATGAAACAAAACAAGAATCTTCAGTGGATGTAGTGAAAGACAGTGATCATTTGACTGTAGAAAATCTTGAGCATCCTGTTGAGGAAAAAGAAGTCTGTGGAATTAGTATGAATGCGTCTCAGTCACCTGACAAAACTGTATTAAACAATAAAGATGTACCATTGGTTGACCAGAATGCATGTGATATGGAGCCGGACTTAACTGATATTGGTACAACTGCATCTTCATCTATAAGCAATGACATGTATCCTGGAACTAAAGAGGGAGAACCTAACCCAGTACCTGTTGATGATGACAGTTCAATACTGAGCATTGATCTCAATCACTTGAGGCATATTCCAAAGGCTATCAGCCCACTGAACAGTCCAATACGCCCTTTGGCAAAAGCACTTAAGATGGAAAGTCCCTGCAAAGGTCTCGTGAAGAGTTATAACAAAGGTATTCATAAGTTCTAATTTGTTTTAGAAATAGAGACTTAGAAGATGCATTCATGGAAAGCAGAAATTACTTTCTTTTAACTGCTTTCTCAAAAATACAGATTGTTTCTTCTTTAGCTACGTAAATCACAACAGTCTTCTTGTTTATCACAGAACTGTTCATTGCTAACATCAAGATTGTACTGACTGAACTACGGTGCAAGCAAAATTGGAGTTAGTCACTGCTTAAAACTAAATAATAGAAATAAGAGTTAATATGCAAATGTCTAAAATGTGTGTGTATATATGTATGTCTCTTACCTATTGTTACTTCTGACTATGTGTATTAGATATTTCTGGAATTTTAGAGGCAGGAGTAAGTTAGGATCCTATTTTTTTCATGCATTTATTTCTTCTCTGAACACTGAGGAGGGTACCTAAGACTCTGTTTTTAGGAGTGTCAGCCAAGAAAAGTGTCTTGGATAAATTTCGCTGTGAATTTTTAGGTGTGTTGAGTCAGTTAATGGAAAAAAAATAGAACGCATCATAGAACACAAGAACATACCAATAATAGTAAGCTGATTCCTAAACACGATATCAGGAAGATAAAATACAGTGACAGCGCTCGAAGAGAAAATAGGCAATCCAAACTTTAAATATTTTCCTTGGCTAATTTTCAAAACTTCATGTAATGTCCTCCTGCAGCTAATAGTTTTTCTTGGAAGTTCTAACTTTGTAGAAGACGAATGGGAGAGTAGCAGTGAAGTTCTGTTTTGTGTGTTTTAAGTCATAGTGTTTGTTTGGTTTGGAGTTTGTTTTGCATATCTTAACATGGTTTACTCTCAGATTTTGTCTCCTGTATTTGAGAAAGCTACTCTTTCACATGTGGATTCCTTTAGTGATCTATGTTTTATTCTTACAGTGGTTTATATTCTTTGAACTGCCAGGGGGTACAGGGGGCAGAGCAGATTAACATGAAATAAGTGTTTTTCTCTGGTTTAACTATAAGAATCATTCCTGTCCAGAGCTTACAGCTGTATTATGAAGCAATGACTTTCACCTCTGCAGTTAAATGCCTCGTTGTCTTTGTGATCTAACTAGTGACACACCTGTCTAACGATTTACGTGTGTTAAATTGATGGGAGATCGTGGCTTTTCTTAGCCTTGAAATTCAATACTCCCATCTCTGCTATTCTGCAGGACATACATTAATAGTGTATTTTGACTGCTTTTGTTTTGTACTTTTAGTTTGTCAAAATACTTACAACTTGGTTAGTTCGAGAATACATTGATCCTTGTAAAACTGAAATGGAGGTAGTAAAGAAATATTGTTTTCCAGCTGTAGAGTCTGTGTAAACATTTTCAAACACTGTTTGAAAACATAGATTAGAAGTTTATTTTATAATGAGATGGAATTCAGGTACAGTCATGTACCAGATGAAGAGTTTGTTAGAGGTCACTAAGCAGTCTAATCTATGTGAGATTGAACGTAAGAGTTTTATTAACTAGTGTCCAGCAAGCCTGTAATTAACTGCGAATCTCATTAATCGATACAAACGCGTTTGAGTGGGTTTTTATATATACAGGAAATTAGCTTGCTTTGTAGCTAATTGTAATTACTTATTTTCCTTAACTAAATAGTGTTTGTTTTGAATTTTAAATAATTATTAAATTATTGAATCTATAAAAAATATAAAAAAATTAATGAATTTGTGAAAGAGCCTTTCCTTTCATATACTCCCTATTTTTATCATTCAGGAACCTGAAATTGAGGTTTTTCTCAACATCCCTTTAAAAAAAGAAAAATAGAAAAACCTTTTTATCCCATTGTATTTCTTTATGGTCCTGGTAATCTTAAATGCATCAACAATTGAAATAGGAGTTTACCACATATATAGTGGCTAGTATAATGGGCCTCTTTGTTCAGTAACTTAATGTATTGATGGAATTGAAGAGTTGAAGTAGCTCCTTGTCTGTAGAGGAAAAGTTAGGTGAATGCAGACATCAGCAGGGCATTTATATTGCTCCTTTTGTTTTCATAATAACATTATTAAAAGGAAATCAAATTTTAAATGTAAATCTCAATCTGTAATGATACCAGAGTTAAAATTCAGCTTGTGCAGTGTTCAAAAAAGTTGCTAAAGTAAGTGGAAAAGTTCAAAGCTAATGGAAACTTGGAGATTTTTCTCTTTTCAATGGATATGTTTGTAGGAAAGATCATGCATCTTTGGTGAAACACTGAGTCCTTATTGGCCCTTTGAAGATCAGAAAAATCCCATTCTGCTGAATGAGAACTGCCCAGACTTTCCATAGCTCAAATTTCCTGAATTGTCATCAGCAGTTTGAAACAATCCTGAACAGTCACCTTGAAGAATAGAATTCTCCTTGTTTTTCTAAAAAATCTGTTTATAATTATATTCTTTATAATTATTATCAAACTGTTTTCTTTTTATAGATTTAATTCCTGAAGGTACAGTTGTCATCTGTCCCTCAAAGAATTTGTCAAAGGAGGTAAATAAAGAAAATCAAAAGCCTATTAGCCTGTCTGATGCACGCTTAGAGATCGAGTCCCGGCTGAGTATCTCTTCAGATGAAATAGAAGAAGGAGAAATCATAAGTAGTGATGAAGATGAGGAAAAATCTAAATCAGAAGGACATTCTGAAAATCCAAAAAAGACGAGACCAAAAACTTCTTCTGAAACACGGAATTTGACCAGCAGTCCACAAAATCAAAAGAACAAAACTGTACATTGCAATGAGGATAATGGAAAATTTGTTTCTTTGAAAGGAAGTATGCAGAACAGAGAGAGACATAAAAAGCAGACTTTCAGGTCTTCAGAGGAAGTGAAGAAAAGTAAAACTGTGAGCATTACTTGTCTTGAAAAAATAGTTCAAGTTATAGTTGAACCTTCAAATGTGCAAGAAATCATGCAAATGCTAAGAGCTATACGAAAGCAGATGAGGAAAAATTATATGAAATTCAAGGTACGCTTCCCAGTTCAGCATTTTCATAGAATTATTGAATCTGCTATCATAAATTTTACATCTTTAATAAAGCACTTGAACTTTTCCAAGATGTCTACATCAGGTGAGACATTAAAATTGAATGTATGTGATATTATAGAGTCCAAACTCAAGCAAGTTAAAAAGAATGCAATAGTAGACCATCTTTTTGAACAACAAGTATCAGATATGAAAAAACGGTTATGGAAATTTGTAGAAGAACAGCTTGACTACTTATTTGAGAAGGTGAAGAGAATTATAGTAAAACAATGTGATGTGATAAAGTTGGGAAATGAGAGTGAGGAAGGGAAGCTTGAAAGAACAGGAAAACAAAACCGCAAAATCAGTCATAAAAATGATGTGCAGAGATCTAGGAAAAAGTCTCTGAAAGTCAGATCTCAAAAACCTCAAGAATTTATCCTTTCTAAGCAGTCTGTGGATTATCAGAAACCTAAGTGTCATCATGAGAAAAATAAAACAGATGCACCAAAAGCTGCTTTCACGAAATGTCTTAACTCCATTGATAACACAAGGAATTCTCAAACCAAAGTGCAACCTACTAAGGAGAATAACTTACAATGCACTATCACTCCACTGAAAGGCATAAAACATGATAAAGAAGGATTCCAGCAATTCAGAGATGCTCACAAGTCTGATCTTAGTTATGACCTCCTCACAGAACAACAAGCATCCACTCTTACGTTTAATCTTGTAAGTGATGCTCAAATGGGTGAAATTTTCAAAAGTTTGTTGCAAGGTTCTGATCTCTTGGAAAAAAGTGGTGGCAACATCGACAGACATGATTGGGAGTTCAGGACACCAGAAAAACAGTTTTCAGATAATCATAAATGCAAAACTAATACTTCTGAATTAGTGCAAAGAATTGCTCCAAAGGAGGTTCATGTAGAATCTCGATCCATAGAGGATATTAGTTGGGCTGTTGTTTCACCTATACGAGCTCCACCTTTAACTTCTAGGTTGTCTGTTGATCCGGATGTACTAGATGAAAGTTGTATGTTTGAAGTTCCTACAAGTGCAACTTCATGCAGAGAAGATGAATGCAGTTTACAAAAGAGTAAATCATTTGTTTCTTCTATCCTTCTTGAAGATTTGGCTGTTTCCTTAACTATTCCATCACCTTTGAAATCAGATGCTCACCTCAGCTTCTTAAAATCTGAGAATAATTCTGGCTCAACTCCTGAGTGTGTCCTTAGTGCGCATTACAGTGAGGATGCTCTTCTTGAAGGGGAAGATGCTACTGAACAAGACATTCATTTGGCTTTAGAATCTGATAACTCCAGCAGTAGATCAAGTTGTTCTTCATCGTGGATGAGTCGTCCTGTTATTCCTGGTTTTCAGTGTCGCTCCAGCCTGCCAATGCAAGCAGTAATCATGGAGAAATCCAATGATCATTTCATTGTAAAGATCAGGCGTGCAGTGCCAACTATCACCCCAGCATCTGATCAGATTGCTTTAGTGAAGGAGACATGGGCATCTTCAACCAAGAATGAAAAAGAAGAAATGAGAAATGGTGAAAAAGGAAGGTGCAGGCAGAGCACTATAGCAGCTACTTTGCAGGAAGCTGTCAAACCCGATCTGCTTAAGACTGATCAGTTACCTTATGTCAGCATTAGAAAAGAGCAGAATCCTGCCTTACCTCATCCTCTGAAGGAGTCTCAAAGTAGTGCTGGAAAGGAAGAAACTACCCCCTTGCTTGGACCTCATAGAAAGCCTTCAAATGTAGATAGCTGTGACACTGAAAGCCCAAGTGAAGGTTCTGAGCAGCCTCAGACACACAAATTGGAAGTATCTGAAAACACAGATGGAACAAGTGCTGGATCCCAAGCTTCTTTTTCTGTTGGTTGCAGTGTAGTGTCAGACTTAACAAATGAAAGTGTTAAAAAAACTTTGTATTTTGCTGTGGAATCTGCTGCAAATAAGAAGAGTCAGCAAGTTTCTACAGGAAACTCAGAAATCGGGAATAAAAAAGAATTGGAAGAGTGCTCTGATGCATTCATAGACTTAACAGAAGACCTTTCCAATGAGATCATAGCAGGTGAATGTAATCTTGAAGAAAAATCTGCTTTGGATACTGATGGAGGTTGTCAAATAAACATAGATGACAAAACTAGTAAAAAACGGAGAAAGGAGACTGTCGAAGAGAATTCCAACTTAAAAAGGCAACGAAAAGAAACTGAATCAGCGGATGAAGGCAGCAATGGAAGTGATGTAAAATCTGAAGGGATAAATTCAGGACAGAAACAATGTCACAGCAAGAATAATGAGTTGCAACAAAACAAAGAGTCTTCTCCTTTGTCCTCGGGGGCATCATCACCTGGTCTGTATGCCAAAAACATCATTAAAAAGAAAGGAGAAGTAGTAGTTTCCTGGACCAGGTAATAATTTCTGACTTCATCTGTTCCCTTTTACTTGTTTTGTATTTTAATCTAGGTGATACACTGGAAAGTGGGGAAAAGGATTTTTAGGTGGTATAACATAGTACTACGTGCATACTTCATAGCAGTTTAGGAGCTTCCTTCTGTCTATGCCAAATGGCTTTGTGAATATGATTTCTTCCCTTACAGTACCACTGAAAGGTACAAAAGTCTATTTTATTCTTTTTCTTAGGAATTGTCCAGCAGAAAGCAAATTTCAGAAATGAGCTTATTTCCAGTAATTCTGTTAGCAGCCTTTGGAAGAGAACAGCTTTTCATTATTTTTTTGGGTAGGTTAAATCAGATTTGCCATAAAGAGTAATGCTTCCATATATTGTAACTAATTCTTTCACTTACCTATATTTTTGTGGCCATGGTATTTTTTTGCTTTTGTATTTAAAGCTTATATGTAGATGTAGCAAGGCCTACTTTATTCACTGCAATTTTTGGTTCCCCTGCCCATTTCCTTGCTGTTCCAAAAATTGCACCCAACCTCTGCAAGAATGGAAGTCTTTGATGTTCCTACAAGGCCTGGAAGCATTGGTAACTGGAGAAAGGAGAAGGATTTCTCCCCTACCAAAGGCATGAGAGCAAACTGTTCTGCTTGGGAGTCTGTACTCCTCCATCTGCAGAAATGTACCAGTCAATTGTTCAGCCCATGTACTGTTTGGAAACGCATGCTGTGTGTGCTAGTTACCACGCAGTTAATGGCATGTGCGTGACAAATGAGGTGGCTGTGTAAGGTGGAGATATGTGCAATGTTATTGTGTGGGAACATAAAATAAATCTTTGAGAAGCTATCTTTAGCAGATTTTTATGTTCTTGCTGCAGCTGCATAAAATCTGTGCTTTGTGTGGAGGCTCTTAAAACATTCATATACATAGTTTTCTAAACTAAAGTTCGGATACAAAAGAGGTTTTTATGTAGGATTTAAAAAAAAAAAACAACTCCTTCTGGGAAAAAGAAAAAGACTATGAAAGCTATTTGGACTTTTTTTTTTTTTAACATGCAAAACAATGAAATAGGATAATATTGTGGAAGGTTTTCCTTATGGATATGAACAGGGTTTTTCTGTCTCAGTCTTTGTCCATCAAACAATGCCTAAAAAAAAAGAAAGAAAGAAAGAAAAATAAATATTTAAATAAAGAATTATTATATTGGGTTTTCATTCTGTGGAATGAAAGAAATTAAATGTAGCTTATTGAATTATTGTAATCAAAGATTCATTGTGACCGTGATACAGGGGAAGCGTCTGTATACATTTTACAAATATCTAAACAAATTAACAGAAGAAACAGCAAATCAGTGACATGTTTATTAATAGTCTCCAGGTCCTTTCTTTTCCTCATTTGAACTGTAGATAGGCTCTGAGTGTGTTTGTTACATTAGGCTACTTATGGAAGTGAGATATATCTCTATTTAATCTCTGAACTTCAGTGGGCCTTTGGTAAAAGTTGCTGCCTAGACATGTGAACTGAGGAAAATCTGCCTCAAAATACTGATCCCTTTGGAACTTAAGAGATGCTTTCAATTGAAGCTTAAGTTTCTGCTTTAAAAGCATGAAAATTTTCATAGTGATTTTGGTTTGGGGCTAACTCTTATAATCATCCTGCTGTTCCTAACAGGATAATACAGTCTTGCTATTGATTGTACTGATTCTGTTATTATGTGTTAGAAAAGGGGAAAGTCCTCTTAACAGTTCCTCGCTCCTATTTGAATTCATGTTTTGTAGTTTGGAAGTACTTATATATACAGAAATACATACAATTATATTTTTAAATGGGCATATGCACAAATCTACCTTAAAACTTCAAAACTCCATTTTTGCTATAGAAATGACGACCGAGAGATTTTACTGGAATGTCAGAGAAAAGGACCTTCAAGTAAAACCTTTGTTTCTTTAGCCACTAGGCTGAACAAAAGCCCAAATCAGGTAGGTAATAACCATTCTGATAATTGAGAATAACTACATCAGTACTTCTATGATTGCCATTGAACTAAGAACCTAGAGAGATCTTCTGCTAATTAAGAGAGTGCTTTTTTTAACTCATGTCTATTATTGGGGAGTTCTTGAAAAAAGAATCCTAGATTCTCCTAGTTGTTGCTTTTTAAAAGTATATGTTAAAAGATTATTATGGTCCTGGAATTCATCAGCACCTTTTTGATTGCTACCTTAAAACTGCTGCATTCAGAGCAAATTTCAGTCATAACTGATTTGAAGTCTTTGTTCTTTCCCTTCTCATGGGAATGAAGCCAGTGTTCAACAAATAGTGGGTTGTAGCTCTTCTTTGGTGAACTTGGAGACAGTTTCATAATCAAAGGTGTAGGAAGAGTTCCTTGGAATACAAATCCAATTAACACAGTGGTTTTCTTAAAATTCTCCCTTTAAAATCTACTGGAAGCAAAAAAGCACAAAATAGTCTTATTTTTTAAACAAACAAAGAGAACTTTGGGGGCAGATCAGTCTGTTTGTATGGAATTCCATAACATGCCTTTTTTGTTTTCCTCTAGGTTTCAGAAAGATTCAAGCAGCTTATGAAGCTATTCAAGAAATCCAAGTGCAAGTAACTTACCACCATGCTGCTTTGTGGCTGCAGGATTTAACTGTACCAGCAGTGATGGACTGCAATCACTGTGTTTGTGTGTTATACGTAGGAGGAGGTATCCAAGTCAGCATACTAAGTCTGATAAATCTGCTGTGCTCTGAAATGTTTTGCCAGAGCAACAGAATAATACAGAGGAGTCTGGCTGGGAAGGAATGTGTGTGTACAAATGGTGTAGTATCATTTCAAGGGAGTGACATCTCATGTTGGTTATATGCATTCTATAAGTAAGGAGAAGAATGCAGTCAAGTACTTCTGCTTGTCTTGGCAGAAGTACTCTGTACGGTGATGTCAAACTGCGATTTTAAAACATAACAGTTCTTTGGAGTCGAGTTAGGTAATGCTGGAAAATGATAAACATTCTGTCTTGGTTATGTTGAAATGTGAAAACTGGTACTTTAAGAAGTTAGGCTTTTTTCTTTTAGGACAAGCCAACGTAATGATTACAATAATTCCAGAAGCTGTTTATCAGTAATTGAATTCTGATGGGAAGAAATAGGTTGTTTTTCCACTATTTTGTCAGATGCTCATTGGCGTGTTTCAAGGAGAGGAAATTTGGCCCTGAGTATAGGATTTGTCTTCAACTTTAAACGTGCTCTCTAAGCCACTTGATGTCCAACTGAAAAAGATGAATTCATTTATTAGAGGATATCCATCTGTCTCCACTGATAATGGGAGAGGTCTAGATAGTTGGCCTCGACTAGACTCCCTAACCTTTAGATTTTTTAAGTCAAATAAAATGAGTCCCAACTGCTGTGACACAGTGGAGCCAGCCATTGAGTTGGTGACTGTTTTTTCTGTTTCATCTGAACTGTGAAATAGTGACAAGTGTTCGTTTAACAAGAACGATTGTGTAGTTTAAAACATCTTGCAGATCTGCTGACATTTAAAGTGAGTTCATGCTGAGTTTGTATAGCTGAATTTTCTTTTTCTTTCAAGAAAAGCATAAAGAAATTTATCTTCTCCAAACCACATCTTGGAAAGATTCTTAAGTTAGTTTAAATTAAGCTAATGTAGGTCAATAGGCCTTCTGCAGAATGAGCACTCCATTTAGTTTCCAAAAAAAAAAAAAAAGCATTTTTTAAAAAATTAATTTAGAAACAGACCTTTGCAGTTTTACAAAATGTTACTTTACACTAATTAACCAGGAGAAAAACTTTTTTATTTTGAATCCAAGCGATCTCAAAAGCTTGTCAGTTTAGTATGTTTTGACAGCAGTGTGTGTGTCGTTACAAGTTGTTTAGTACATCAGAAATTCATGGCGTTTCATCTGAAAGGATTCTGATAACTGCCTCTGGTTTTACTAGTACATACTGGAAGTGTGTAGCTATTTCTGTGCGTATCTATATATACATTGCTGCTTTATCCCAAGTTTCTAAAAAGCTTTCCTTCCTCCCTGTAAGAAGCATTCCTGCAAGTTGCACAGGTCAGGCTTGTATTATAAATACGTCGGAGTTTGAGGTTCTCGTTGCTATTGAAGATCAGAATTGCCGTAGGCTTCATTTAGTTGGAACATCTGCTGAGATGAGCTCGACTTCATTTAAGAGCCCCACTGACACACACCACCTCTGAACTTGGATTAAATTGCTTTCTTATAGAATTCAATGAACGCTTCTTGAATCTCAGGATAATGGTTTTTGGCTCACTTCCTGAGACATAGTAAACTAGCAGGACAGACTTTTCACTCTATTCAACCATCAGATGATTCATCAGTGGGGTTGCCACTGATACCTCTGGAATATTGCAAATGTGACCTATGGAACTGATTGTCATGCTGCCGAGCAGTGGATAGTTCTGATTTTAGGCAGTGTTCTGGGAGCTCCTAGAAGGAATAACTTGAGTAGGTTGTAATGTCAGTTCTGGCAGTCTTCCATCTCGTGTGCTTGCTTCTAAAACATTTGCATTTGGTGAGCGAATGTCATCTTCTGAGCTGCATGGGCAAGACCTGGTTAGTGATTTAAGCTGAGATCAGAGCACCTGTTCATGCTTGTTCTTAAAAAAAACATTTTTTACAATTGTTTACTGATTGAAGTTTAAATTTGACTGAATTTGTTCTCAGAAAAATGCTGCTCTGCAAGCTGGCTAGTGTTTGTGGAAAAATCAGACTCGAGTATTTTTATAACCATATCTTTATAGATCAAAATGTGCACAATACTGAAGGCACTGAGGGGAATCAGCCCCGCTACATAAGTGCTTTCTCTCTGTCTCAAAAAAGCAGACAGTATTTTATTATGAAGTTGTTTATTCCTTGTTTGTGTGTATTTACTTTCTTACCTGTACAGGTTGGGGTGGGGGAGGGTTGACCTTTGATTCTGACTTGGATTTCTTTTTTTGTAAATTACGAAACTTTTTTTAATGTTCGGTCTGTTGTAAGTATTTGTACAGATTCCTACATTGTCATGTAAAATATCCTGTGTGTGTGTGTGTGTATATATATAAATATATGTAAAAAATAGAGCTTTGTTTAGCCAAAGATGATTTTTTTAACTATATGAAGCCCTGGGTTTATTTTGTATAAACTAGTTTGCTTACTGTAAAAGTAATGCAAAGAATAAAACTGTAAAGTTCACACTTATGTTCTTGTTGAATTGAAGTTGGCTCAGGGTGTTCTTGTAGCATTGTTTGTGATTTAGTTCTTTAGTAGGGATTTTGGTGCTCATATGCCAAAATTACTCTCTGTAAATCTATAGCCTCATTTGTGAAACTGCAGGCAAACAAAAACCTTTTCCAGAACTGCTGGTTATGGCGGGGTAACTACAAATACTGTGAAGCAGCACTAGAACTGACTTCTGTTAACTGAGTAACTGGTGATGTTCTGACTGAAAAACATGGAGGTAATCAGCTGCTGCTCTCATACAACTACTGCTTCAATTATGTACTGCTTATTTTTTATGAACTTAAGTGCATCAGAAATTGAACAATCTAATGAACTTATAGAATCATAGAATCATAGAATCACTAAGGTTGGAAAAGACCTAAAAGATCACCCAGTCCAACCGTTCACCTATTCCCAATAGCTCCTACTAAACCATGTCCCTCAACGCAACATCCAGTCTTTCCTTGAACACCCCCAGGGTCGGTGATTCCACCACCTCTCTGGGCAGTCCATTCCAGTGCCTGACCACCCTTTCTGAAAAGTAATACTTCCTCATGTCCAGCCTGAATCTCCTCTGCCGTAGCTTGAAACCATTCCCCCTGGTCCTATCACTAATGACACGAGAGAAGAGGCCGACCCCCAGCTCACTACAACCTTCCTTCAGGAAGTTATAGAGAGCAATAAGGTCTCCCCTGAGCCTCCTCTTCTCCAGGCTGAACATTCCCAGCTCCTTCAGCCTCTCCTCATATGGCCTGTGTTCCAGACCCCTCACCAGCTTTGTTGCCCTTCTTTGAACACGTTCCAGGGCCTCAATATCTTTCTTGCAGTGAGGGGCCCAAAACTGGACACAGTACTCCAGGTGCGGCCTCACTAGTGCTGAATATAGGGGAACAATCACCTCTCTGCTCCTGCTTGCAACACTGTTTCTGATGCAAGCCAGGATGCCATTGGCCTTCTTGGCCACCTGGGCACACTGTCGGCTCATGTTCAGCCGAGCATCAATCAATACCCCCAGGTCCATTTCCTCTACGCAGTCCTCCAGCCACACCGCCCCAAGCCTGTAGCGTCGCCTGGGGTTGTTGTGGCTGAAGTGCAGGACCCGGCATTTGGCCTTGTTGAAACTCATCCCATTGGCTCCAGCCCAGCTCTCCAGCCTGTCCAGATCCCTCTGTAGGGCCTCGCTACCCCCAGGCAGATCCACACTTCCAGCCAATTTGGTGTCATCTGCGAATTTACTGAGGGTGCACTCGATGCCCTCATCGAGGTCATCAATAAAGATATTGAAGAGGACAGGCCCCAGCACCGACCCCTGCGGAACACCACTCACGACTGGTCGCCAGCTGGATTTAACTCCATTCACCACCACTCTCTGTGCCCGGCCCTCCAGCCAGCTCCTTACCCAGCCAAGAGTGTACCCATCCAAGCCTCTGGCTGCCAGCTTCTGCAGGAGAATGCTGTGGGAGACAGTGTCAAAGGCTTTGCTGAAGTCTAGGTAGACCACATCAACAGCCTTTCCTTCATCCACCAGATGGGTCACTAGATCATAGAAGGAGATCAGGTTGGTCAAACAGGACCTGCCCTTCATGAACCCATGCTGGCTAGGCCTGATCCCCCGGTCACCCTGCACATGCCGCATGATCTCCCTCAAGACGATCTGCTCCATAACCTTCCCTGGCACCGAGGTCAGGCTGACAGGCCTGTAGTTCCCCGGATCCTCCTTACGACCTTTCTTATAAATGGGAGTCACATTGGCAAGCCTCCAGTCTTCTGGGACCTCACCAGTCAACAAGGAGCGCTGACAGATGATGGAAAGCGGCTCGGCTATCACCTCCGCCAGTTCCCTCAGCACTCTCGGGTGGATCTCATCTGGCCCCATCGACTTGTGACAGTCCAGCTGGAGCAGTAGGTCTCTGACTGTTTCTTTCAGAATCACAGGGGGGTTAGTGTGCTCCCCGGCCGAGATTACCAGGTCAGAGAGAGGGGTATCCTGAGGATAACTGGTCTGACTTTTAAAGACAGACGTAAAGAAGGCATTCAGAACCTCCGCCTTTTCCTTATCCTCAGTGGTCACATTCCCAGCCTCATCCAGCAAAGAGTGGATATTCTCCTTTGTCCTCCTCTTACTGTTAATGTATTTATAAAAGAGTTTCTTATTCCTTTTCACACCAGCAGCTAGGTTAAATTCAAGCTGGGCTTTTGCCTTTCTGATTTCACCTCTACACATCCTAACAACTTTCCTGTATTCATTTTGAGTGGCCTGTCCCTCTTTCCACAGGCGGTAGATTCTCTTTTTCTCCCGGAGCCTCAGGAATAGCTCCCTATTCATCCACGCCGGTCTTCTTCCCCGCCGGCTCATTTTGCAGCTCAGGGGGACTGCCTGCTCCTGCGCCCTTAAGACTTCCTTCTTGAAGAGCAACCAGCTCTCTTGGACCCCTTTGCTCGCTAAGACTGAATGCCAGGGGACTCCCCCTATTAGTCCCCTGAACAATTCAAAGTCCGCCCTCCTGAAGTCCAAGGTAGCAGTATTACTATTCCCCCTCCAGGCTCCACTGTGAATCACGAAGTCTATCATTTCATGATCACTCTGTCCAAGACAGCCTCCAACCTCCACATCTCCCACCAAACCTTCCCTGTTTGTGAACAGCAGGTCTAGTGGGGCAGTTCCTCTCGTGGGCTCTCTGACCAGCTGTATCAGGAAGTTGTCCTCTACGCATTCCAGAAACCTCCTGGACTGCTTCCTCTGTGCTGTGCTGTACTCCCAGCATATGTCAGGGAAGTTAAAGTCCCCCATGAGGACAAGGGCAGGCGACTGTGCAGCTTGTGCCAGCTGCTTATAGAATACCTCGTCTGTTTCTTCATCTTGATTTGGGGGTCTATAACAGACGCCCACCAGGGTGCCTGTCTTGTCAGCCCTTCCTCTGATCTTTACCCATAGGGATTCAACGTTATCGTCCCCAGTCATAATCTCAGTAGCGTAAAAGCATTCCCTAACATAGAGAGCTACACCTCCACCCCGCCTTCCTTGCCTATCTTTCCTGAAGAGTTTATAGCCATCCATTGCCGCACTCCAATCGTGGGAGCAATCCCACCACGTTTCCGTTATGGCAACTAGGTCATAGTTTGCCTGCTGCACAATGGCTTCCAACTCTTCTTGTTTGTTGCCCATGCTGCGTGCATTAGTGTAGACGCACCTCAGCTGAGCCCCTCGCCTCTCACCTAATCCCACTACCACCTCCCCAGGCTGCTCTCTAGCAGGCCTGGCTTTATCCCCCTCCCCCTTCCTATCTAGTTTAAAGCCCTCTCTACAAGTCCCGCCAGCTCCTGGGCAAGTATCCGTCTCCCTTTTGGAGACAAGCAATTCCCATCAGCAGACCTCAGGCCAGATGCCGAGTAGACCACCCCATGATCAAAGAATCCAAAAGTTTTACGCTTGCACCAGCCTCTCAGCCATGCATTTATAAGATGGCTTTTCCTGGTCATCTCAGCGTTCATCCCTGCCACCAAGGGAATGCTGGCAAACACTACTTGTATGCCCGCTCCATCAACTAACTTCCCCAGTCTCCTAAAATCATTTTTTATTATCCTCAGGCTTCTAACAGGGATCTCATCACTGCCGGCCTGAACTATCAATAGAGGGTAATAACTTCAAAAAAAAAAAACTTCAAACTTTCCTCTAAACCATTTATGAATTACAACCTATGCCATCCTTGGCTTCCCAAAATCATTGCCTTTTTCATTGAGGAAAAAGACAGCTTTTTGTATCTAATATGTATTTTTTTTTTTCCCCTGAAAGAGTAACAGGCGTCCCTTTGAGAGTCTTACTCCACTTACTGCTAGTGCAGCCAATGCGATGCCTCCTTTCATCCACCACACACATTTTTCCAGTATTTGGTTTAAAAAATTGTAATTGACACAGGTATTGGAAGATTGTCCAGAGTAGAAGTTCATACAGGAGGGTTTATGGAGGAGACAGGTGTACATCACAGTGAAAGCACGGGATCAGGTACTGAATTTTGAGGGATTTCTAAGGCCTACATAGGCTGTTACCAGCTAGCTGTTTATGTAGAATAGTAGGCTAGAGGAATGTTCATTTCTTTAGGCTGCAGTGCAATGCTTTAGCTGCTAATCTAGCACTCTACAGCTTTTTACTTTCTTTCAGCTAATTGTCTTTGTTCTAAAGCCAGTTGGAGGATAGTCTTTACCAGTTCATCTGCATGCAGTAAGGCTGCATTTCTAAAGTATGCCAAGAAGCAGATTTAAGGAATTCTTAGCTTTCTTGGAAGAATTTATGAATTCAGTCAAGATGTTTCAGGAGCAAAGTTGGCTTTAATAGCCAAAAGGCCAACTACAGTCAGGGGTGCTTTAGGCCCAGCACTGCCAGCTGAGTGAGAGAAGGGATTGCCCCACTCTACTTTGCGCTGTGCATCCTCACGTCAAGCACTGCTTGCAATTTTGGGCACCTCAATATGAGAACATAAAGCTATCAGCATCCAAAGTGCGGCTGTGAAGATTGTGAAAGATGTGAGGGCAAAATGTATGCGCATCTGAAGTCCCTTTATTTGTTCAGCTTGGAGAAAACCAAACTGAGGGGAAGCTTCATGATGGCCTACAATTGCTTTTTCTTGTTGCTGGTCCTTGTGTGTCCCACCAGAATCAGACGTGCTTCTGCTTTTCCAACTCAAGTGGGTTGCAGCAGGCGAGTGATAGGCTTGTGCTTGAGAGTTGCATACATGCAGACACAATCATCTGCCTCCTGCTAGCATTTACACCGTAAGCTGCTTTCACCTATGACAGATGCTGTCATATGTGTTTCTTGAATGGGTGCTCAAGAAACATTTAGATGTGGTACAGAAGGACATGAGTTACTGGGAAATATTGGTGAGAGGTGGGTTGTTGGACTGGATGATCTTGAAGGTCTTTTCCAACCTTGGTGCTTCTATGATTCCGTGCTTGTAACAAGAGTTTCCTCAGACACCACAAATTCTTTCTTACCTCCAAATGCAGAAGACTACATGAAGACCCATGTTGCCCTACCACCACCACTCCACGTACTCTGGCCTTTCTTCCCTTTCATGTGTAATTAATTCTCAGTCCATTAGCAAGCTTGCATGAGCAATCCTTTAACAACACCAATTACTGCGTTGCTAAAGCAGAAACATGGCAAATTGTCCCTAGGCAGCCTGCTGTCACCTTCCCTGCCCTATAAGAGTCCAACACTTAATGCCATGGCTGTGCTGAGGGCTGAGTAATGGATGCTACCTGTCCTGCTGCTGTCACCTGTGAGAGAGAGAAGGTGGTGGCACAAAAATGTGCCAAGTTGCAAATGAGCTGCTTCAGCTGGGAGCAGCGAAGCATGTTCTCTATCAGGATGGGTAAATCACAGCTGAACAGAGTAAAAGAAGTGCTGCCATCAGGCATCACCAATGCTCTCTGGTAAGGGACACCAAGCTTTGGTTGCTCTGACTGAACCTCAGAGGCCTTGTAGCCAAGTTCGAAAAGAAGTAATGTGAAAATACAGTACCAATGATAGGCATGAGAGAATGTTGTCCTGAGAGAGCATGAGGGAAGAAGCATATGGATGAGAAAGGCTCTGGGAGGTCTGGCTTTTTGGGGTGAGTATTAACACATCTCTCAGAAGTAAGAAGTGTAGTGCTACCTCCCTTAAAGCATTTGAAACATACATAAACTATACCTTCTGCATTATACTGAGGCTGAATAAAAGGTATTATCACCACCTTGTTTGCTGCAGGGAAAGGCTCTGAACACAAACACAGCTTTCAGAGAGACCACTGCAGCCTATGCTAGAGAGGATTCATTGCTATGTATGTTGAGCTAACCACAAAAGAATGAGGGTGGTGCATTTTGAGAACAAGTGGGAAAACCCTTAGGGAGAAGAGACTGAAGTGGAAAACAGTCCTACACCTTTCAGGACTGATGTGTGTGTATTTTAACTCACTTCTTAGCTTACAAGTATGGGTGAAGGACAGAGACATCTCATCCAGATGGGATGCAGAGGAATCTGGCTAATGCAGAGTGACCCAAAGGAGAGATGCTGACAGGAAAGGTCAAAGGAAAAAATTATTTGGGGTTTCCTTAAAGTACAGAACTAGGCAGTGGATGTTTTTAGCATCAGAGCTTCATCTCTTGTGTCTCTGAAGTCTCAAGAAATCCTATTTTAGGAACTTGTGATCTTTTTTCAGGTTGTGTCTCTCACAGGTGAGAATCCTGAATGGTCTTCAAGAGTGACTGTAACCTAGCTGAAAGGTTCCTAGCAATGAAGGCCTGTGTTTCTGAACAACTTAAGTCTAGGCGATTCCATTTGCCTCCAGCAGACTAAATTAACTCACCAGGCAACAGAGTATGAAATCGGACATGACCGATCGATTCTTTGGCATTGATTCAGAGCGAAACTAATGGAATGTAAAGAAAATGCAGGAATGTGTATGACTCTAAAAGGTGCTCATTTATTTGTTTTACGAAAGAAAATGTAACTTAGGATATGGGTGGAGACAGTGTTCAAAAACTCAACAAAACGATGCATAGGGACTTTACAAACTATTGCCAAATAAATTGAGCCTCAAGGGAATAGCTTTGATAGATGCCACTGACTAAAATAATTGCATGATAATTTTGGCTAGAGGCACCGTCCTATAATCTGATGGTTTAAAATCGCACGCAGAGTTTAGACTGTGTGATCCAAGCATCCAGACACAAAGAACGGAGAAGTCTGCTCCAAGTGCCACATCTACTCTTTGGCATTGAAAAAGAAAGTACCGTGAAGGAAGTTTTCCAAGCTACAACCTTCAGCAGCACTACATGCTCCTACAGTGTTCTAAGAACAAATAATCTAAGGCTTTCTCTTAAGGTAAGCAAGCAGAAAAAGAATCTTCCCAGGGAGGTGCAGAACAGGCAGATCCCTGTCAGACTGATAGCAATTCAAATTAAAAACAAGAGTACTTGCATCTTAACATTTAATCTTTTTGGAAACAAGTATAATTCAGTAAGGCTAGGAATTTATGAAGCCTGTTATTTTTTGCAGTTTAATTATATGATATTGTTCACTTCCAATGGATCAACTGGGCCAGTTTGTGGGTGTTAGCAGATTGGCAATTTTCAGGATGTTAAATGTGTATATTGCCTCTTTAGAAATGTCATGGCTGCAAGACAAAAAATGATTTCAGACAGTGACATATTTCATTTTGACCATCGACTCCAGTTCTATTTTAATTTATAGTTGATAAAATTAAGGAAGATTTAACTCTGCAAATCACCTCTAATGAGATCCTGGCACAAATTTAATATATAACTGATTTGAATATTGGAAAATGATTAAACGAACTTTAATAGAAAATGAAAAAGAAATAAAAAAGAAAGCAAGAAAGCAAGAAAGAAACTTCCTTCATCATTGATTGTGGATTTCCATCTGATTCTGATTATGTGCCTGTATTGTTAATGTTTAAATTGATCACATGTAACTATTCAGACAGCCACAAAGGTAGTCAGAGAATGCATTCAACTTAAAGAAACTTCAAAATGGCACTTTACAAAAGACTGGAGTTTTTTGGAATTTGGAAGCCATAAAATAATGGCAAATAAAATTAATTGAGAACCCTGAGGTAGAGACAACCCCGGTTGCTTTCAATATTTTATTTCTGTGTTAGCAAAAGCATTCCAGGAACACAACAGACTGTGGAATGCATTCACAAATACACAATTTGTAAATTTCAATTTCCTACATGACCTGAAGATCCTCAAGATAATCCAGAGAAGTGGCCTGGGAATCAAGCATCTTGCAGCTGAACATAGAACAGCTCAGTGATGAATCAAAGAGCTTCTGGGAAAGAGGTGGTTAAAAAGATCATCTCACACTTACAACTAAAGATCTTCACTGCACTCTTATGTATTTCCTGCTTAATTTACTTCATACGTTTAAATTTATAATCAAGACAGAGTTTTAGTGATTCATTGAGGCTTTAAATGCACAAAGTTCAAGATACGAATCCTAGATGCATTCTAAGTTTATGAATAAAATTCTAGACTGAGACTATGCAATGTACAGTTATGTGTAAATTAACTGTGTATTTGCAGTTTTGTATTTCAAGGCAAAAATTGTGGACTGTTACACTAGCAGACAGGAAAATACTGAATGGATGACATTTATAATGCTACCACCTTGCGGTACAAAATATAAAAATTCTGTCACATTTATAGGATACTTCTCAAAACTTTCTCAAATGAATGAAGGCTTAATTAGTTGTTTCAGTTGTTTTTCACCCAAAGCCATAGCAGAGCCACAGACAGGAATGTAGTAGGTGTAGAATTAATTTATTGTTGGCAGTGGATTTGCAAAGTGAAAAAAAAAAAAAGAGTGTCTTTTTTCATGGTGGGTGGAAAATACAGTAGATGTGTAGGCAGTTAAGAGGTACCATGGCTTATAGCCAAACTCAATCTCTCTTAAAACAATCTCACTTTGCATCTTCTACTAGTAGTTGTAGTGTCTACATTCATTTAATGACCTATTAAATAGAAAATAATGATAAATTTATAAAATGTCTCTTTTCATCCAAAGAATATGTAATATCATTATTAAAATATGTATATACTAGAAAGGGTCAGTTTGAAAAGAAATTCAGTAGTGGTTCAAATAACACTATTTTTTATACTTTAGATATGAACTTCTGATCATGGGTGACTGGAACTTGTTGGGCAGCATCCTTGAAGAAGTGCACATTCACTCCACCATAGTTGGCAAAGTCTGGCTCACGATCCTGTTCATATTCCGGATGCTAGTGCTGGGAGTGGCTGCTGAGGATGTCTGGGATGATGAGCAGTCAGAATTCATCTGCAACACGGAGCAACCTGGCTGCAGCAACATATGCTATGACAAGGCCTTCCCTATCTCTTTGATCAGATACTGGGTATTGCAGATCATATTTGTATCTTCTCCATCTCTTGTTTACATGGCCCATGCACTGTACAGATTAAGGGCTCTAGAGAAAGAGCGACAGAAGAGGAAAGCCCACCTGCGGGCTCAGCTAGAAGATCTGGAGCCTGTGCCTGAAGAACACCGGAGAGTGGAGAGGGAGCTGCGAAAGCTGGAAGAACAGAAGAAAGTGAATAAGGCACCCTTAAGAGGGTCTCTGCTGCGCACCTATGTCCTACATATCCTGACCCGCTCAGTGGTTGAAGTGGGCTTTATGATAGGTCAGTACCTTTTGTATGGATTTCACATGTCACCCCTTTACAAATGTACTCGGCCCCCTTGCCCTAACACAGTGGATTGCTTTGTGTCCCGACCCACTGAGAAGACCATCTTTATGGTCTTCATGCACAGCATTGCCGCGGTCTCCCTATTCCTCAACATCCTAGAAATCGCCCACCTGGGCCTCAAGAAGATCCACAAGACCCTCTATGGTCGACCGCGGCAGCCAGTGGATGATGAGGCCAGTCCTTACAATTCCAAGAAGAACTCTGTGGTCCCACCTGCCTGCCCGGCCGCCGACACCTCCCCTCCACGCTCCGCCGCGGCTCCGCCGCCCCCCACAGCTCCCTCGGCCACCCCCGCCCCATCCGCCCCTCCTGGTGAGCCGGGCCATCAGCACCACGGAGAGCTCCGCGCCGCCGCCCCGCCGCGCCGCCGGCACAGCGCGGCTCAGCACCACGGACAGCAGTCGCCGCCCTCCTCCAGCAGCGAGGAGGCGCCGCAGGCGACGGGGCCGGAGACGGCGGGGCCCGGAACGGGGGCGGGCCGCCGAGTGCTCCGCAAGCAGAGCCGAGTGAGCATCTGTCGCGATCTGGAGGAGAACCGCGGGGAATCCCCGGACAGCGGACACTGCCCGGGCACCCGCAAGTCCAGCTTCCTCTCCCGGGTGCTCTCCGAGAGCCGGGCGGGCAGCGACAGCGAGAACGCCGCCTCCCGCCGAGGCTCCGATCCCGGTTCCGCCTCATGTTCCGGCTCCGAGGGGCAGCGCCACGAGGAAAGCAGCCCGGCCGGCACCCCGCCGCCGCCCGCGGCCATGGGACGCCGCGTGTCGATGGCAAGTAGCGGCCCCGGGGATCGGGCGGGGGGTCCAGACGGCCGGGGCAGCTTTTCTAGGCCTCTGGCACCGCCACGGCTATGACCGTGCCCCGCACCCTTGGTGTCCTTTGGCAGGAAAGGCAGAAGCACTGCAGAACTGCGTTTCTGTCAGCTGTTCATATCATTTGGCTGGATGTTCCAAACTTGCTTATACCTAGTGTTACTGTCATGCTTGCCTCAGCACAAATGAGTTTTTTCTTTTCTTTTCTTTTCTTTTCTTTTCTTTTCTTTTCTTTTCTTTTCTTTTCTTTTCTTTTCTTTTCTTTTCTTTTCTTTTCTTTTCTTTTCTTTTCTTTTCTTTTCTTTTCTTTTCTTTTCTTTTCTTTTCTTTT